TTTTTAGCGCGATTGTTGAAGTTGAGTGTATCGGTAAAGTTATATTCGGAAAGAATAAACCAGTTTTATTAAGAAAGGACTTGTGTCGCTTAAGTTTCGTCGGAACGAAGTTACGAAAAAATCAATCAACAAGCGGAGACGTAACACTATACAAGTTTAGTGCGAGACATCATAGAAGTTTATCCAACAAAACGCTTGAGAAGTTACCTTAATAAACGTACCTTTATTGTAGTGCATAGCAGATAGATTTACACATTGTTATAATAAAGTTAGATAAAAAAAAAAACGAACCATGCATTCCAGATGATTATAAGACAACTGTATTTAAGCTGACTTTCGCCTTTAAAGCTTCTTCAGGGTGAAAATGGGTTGAAATAAAAAATTCTCGTATAAAATTATCTGGTGTATATAGGTCGTTTTATTTTCTAACTTTATTACCAAAATGTGTAATTGCGTCTGATAAGCAATGTAGGCTAATTATAATTTCCTGTTTGTCATTATTTAAAATTATTAATTGTAAAACAATAACAGCTAGTTAACGCAAACTAACGTTTACCTTATAGTTTCATTTATTGATAAAAGTACAGAAATAATTATATTAAGATATATAGTGTATAGAAAAGATATTACCCAACTATTAGTTATTCATGCAAGAAGGAGTAGGCAATATAACACTATAGTTTTAAATTTAATTAAGGAAGTAATATTCTTGTAACTTACTGTACAGCAAAGTAGAAAAATAAAAGGTGATTTTAAATTTCTGTACTTTTCGGTGGTGACATTTTCATATCGTTTCGTATAATTCTTTAAACACGACTTTTTATGTTTACATCCTTTATAGAACGTAAATATATATTTACACAGATGCGTAAAAAGTTTAAGTCATATACACAGTTTCAAACTAACTGTGACGCACTATCACTCGAAGAGACTTCTACCCCTGTTTTTAACATATATTTGGACTTGCCCACGATTGGTTTACACTAATACATAACTCTAATTCATAAAATATAATTGTTACTTATACACTCTACGTAGTATTAATAAAATAATGTAATAAATATTACTTGATGACATTATAATGTAATATTAAGTTAGGTTGGAATGTTGTTTTTAAAACAAGACAGAAACTTTTGGCCTACCATCTAAACTATTTCTTAGCTGACAGTATATATAATAGCGTAGAAAATATAGTTGGTTACATACGTCGGAGTAATCTTGAATTACTTTCTATTGGTTATAGAATTTTTGATGTCCTAAGCTATAGGACACATAAAAATAAAAAAAAAGATTGGTGTTACATTTATATTATAAGTTGTCGTTGAAGATGAGAGGGTTTGATATTAAAGATATAAAGATATGTACAAAAATTCGTATGAATGTAATCAGTTGTTTAATAATTTGATAGAATGGTTGTGTAATATCAATATATGTTTTACATTTACTGGTCACTTATAGTTGTTAGAAATCAAACTTAAGTTTAAAAGAGATGCACTACCAGAAACGATTGTAAACGTACATAATTTTCCTGAGTTTAATAAATTATTTCATTGTAAAAATACATATATTAAAGACGATATGCAAAATGTACATTTGCTGTTATGTTAAACTTATATTAAAGTTTTTCTTCATTACCCATTCAAGCCGTCTCCAGCCATTATTAGTCTCAAAGTGGGTTCCTCGTCATCGAAAATAATTTTATTGTTGAGGTTTTCTTAGTGCAAATCCATACAATGAGTTATCTGCATTTTGTCCACTGCTGAGAATTGAATGTTGGATTTTAAGGTTGTACGTCCATAAATTTACTGTTCAACCACTGGAGGAGAATGTAATTTAAAAATGCAAATTAAAAGTTCTTATGTACACCGAAAAAAGAGTATAAAAGAAGCAAGGAAATCTAGCATTAAACAACAAGTAGTAGTGGCATAGGAAACGACATTCCACTTTACAATCTTGGGAAAATTACTAACGGGAAAAGTAGAATAATGCATACAATTTAATCAGGAACCCAAGAACTTCCAGTGCACTAGGCCACGGTCAAATAATCTTTTCTCCCCCTCTCTTTTTTAATTTAGCTCCAACTTGTCATTAGCGAAGTTGTTTGTTATGGATTTCACGCAAAGCTACACGAGGGCTACCTGCGCTAATGTCCCTAATTTAGTAGTGTAGGACTAAAAGGAAGGCAGCTAGTCATCACCACCCACCGCCAAGTCTTGGGCTACTCTTTTACCAACGAATGGTGAGATTGACCGTCACATTATAACGCCCCCCATGGCTGAAAGAGCAAGCATGTTCGGTGGAACTGGGATTCGAACCGGCAGATTGCGAGTCGAGTGCCCTAACCACCTGGCCATGCCGGGCCATTAGCGAAGTTAGTAAAATTATTCAGGTTAAACCTCAGACTTCTGTATTTTCTACTCACTCTATCTTCATATTTTATTGCCTTTTAATCATATGTAGATCTATATTTATGCTTAGAAATTGTAGTTGTAGTTGTAGTTAAATTTAAATATATTTGAAATAAGCTTTTCATTAAAGTAATTTTTCTCTTTTTTAATTTTACTATCATAAAAATAACAACTCATCTATTACAGCAGATAAAAGATAGATTGTTTAGTACAGTTTTCTATTGAATTTTGAGGAGTGGCAATATGAAAATTACTGTTTAGGATCAATGAAAAATTTGTGTTGGTTAGTATTGTTGCATCAGCGAGGTCACGTGACTAGTATCACGCCACCTGTTTCTAGAAATATCCTGTTCCTTCAAGAATGCCCTAGCATTTACTAGATATGTGTTAGTCTTGTATATATAAGACGTTCACAACGTAAC